CCGTGTGGCACTCATCACCGTGTGGCACTCATCACCGTGTGGCACTCATCACCGTGTGGCACTCATCACCGTGTGGCACTCATCACCGTGTGGCACTCATGACCGTGTGGCACTCATCACCGTGTGGCACTAATCACCGTGTGGCACTCATCACCGTGTGGCACTCATGACCGTGTGGCCCTCATCACCGTGTGGCACTCACCATTTATTGCGTGGTGAGAATTTACATTAATAGCTAGATTTATACATTCACAGAAGCCTTGCATCATCTCCTTACTACACAATTCGTGCACCGACACAAATAACACAGAGCACTACAAATTGCGCAGAGCAACACAAAATACGCAGAGCTACACAAATGACACAGAGCAACACAAATAACACAGAGCAACACAAATAACACATCACACCGTCCGTGCGAAATTCTTTCGCTATAGGAAGCAAAGAATATTTTTTAAAGAATGTATTTTAAAAACAACCCATCATCATTTAGGCGCCACTGGAAGATTCAGATGGAAACCGATGATAGTTCGCCGATGATTTCAAACCGGGGTGAAATAGTCAAGTCATTGAGCGGCTGATCGATGCTGAATGATGAATTAGCAATCCAGCATCAAAGCACGGTCCAGTTGGGGCGTATGCATGATCTTTGCATCGGCGATCTAGCAAGGATCTCTGATGTCATAGCAGATCAATGATGGATCTGCAACACAGATCTGATGCTGGCATCTCAAACCTTCATGTCCGCCTTCATTGCTCGTCCGCTATAGTTTTCAAGAGTTATTATTTCATTAGCGAAAGTTTTAAATGATTTTGTGTCATCAGCTTTATTTGCAGCTGTTGCAGTTACATCTGCTGTGGTTCTGATTGCTGTTTCGAGAGCTGCTGAACAGTGAACAGCTATCATAGTTTCCGTTGCTGCTGCACTATATATATAATAACTGTTGAGGCTTCGGTAATTTGTAATTTCACCGGCAACTGTTTCGCCACAACCTCTCGTAAATGGCCCCTCTAGTAACCCCCTCTCCAATGACTCCCCTAGTGGCCCCGCCAATCCCCTCCTGATCTTAGGTGCTTCACTCGAACTACATCGGAATATTCTACGCCCCCAGGCGCTCTTTACCGTCACTTGTTCCCGCGCACTAGGAGCGATCGCCGGCAACCTCTGAGGCGCCAAGTCGGGCAGAAGACCTGCGATCTCCGTGACTCCAAAGCCGGAGAGAAGACCTGTGATCTCTGAGGAGCCATGTTGAGAAGAAGACCTACGAGCTCCGAAATGACGTGTCAGGAAGAAAACCTGCGATTTCCGAGGCACCAAGTCGAGGAAAAGTCCGATGATCTCCGAGAAGCGAAGTCGAAGAAAAGTCAAGCGAACTCCGAGATGCCAAATTCTAGGAAAAGTCCTACGATCTCCGATGTGCCAAATTCTAAGAAAAGTCCTGCGATCTCCGAGGTGCCGAATTCTAGGAAAAGTCCTACGATCTCCGAGGTGCCGAATTCTAGGAAAAGTCCTACGATCTCCGATGTGCCAAATTCTAAGAAAAGTCCTGCGATCTCCGAGGTGTCAAATTCTAGGAAAAGTCCTGAGATCTCCGAGGTGCCAAATTCTAGGAATAGTCCTGCGATCTCCGAGGTGCCAAATTCTAGGAGAAGTCTTGCGATCTCTGAGTCTCCGCAGTCGAGGAAAAGTTCGACGATCTCCGAGGTGCCAAGTCGGGGAGAAGACCTATGATCTCCGAGACGCAATCGTCAACATTAGGACCAACGTTCTCCTCATATCACAATCAGGATTACCGGTGGACCCTTGGTTGCCAGAAGTCTCTGGTGCTCTTTCCAAGTCGGGGAGAAGACCTATGATCTCCGAGACGCAATCGTCAACATTAGGACCAACGTTCTCCTCATATCACAATCAGGATTACCGGTGGACCATTGGATGCCCGAAGTCTCTGGTGCTCTTTGAGAATCGTTTGTCCGGAAAAACGTACGACCCGTCGAACTCCGTGCAACTTATTCTCCCGTTCCCGGTGAGCGGCGGGTGTCTGCCGCACTCCGTGAAACTTAATCACCAGTCCCCGCCAAAGTCGTTGAAAATTATTCACTGTCCCGCCAAGCGCCGGGTTTCCGCCGAACCCGTCGGGAAAGAAGCGCACAACGCAGCCGTGATTGCGGACACACCGCGATTCCTGGACGTTTTAAGGGTTATTACGGACGTCTTTATTGCATAACGCAACTGTGTAAAGCCATTTCCATCGCATTGAAGTGAGGTCAACTACTTCGTTCCTTTATGGCGCTTTCGGTGGATTTATCAGCGGATATCCATTGCCTTGCCTTGCAGTGCGCTATTATTTTCACAGCTTTGGAAAATATTTTTAATTTTGCAAATACGCAGTAATTTTTCTTTCGCTTATAACGGGCTCAAATACACATCAGAATCATGATTTTATTTTTATCTGCTATTTGGAGATTAATTGATTCAAGTAATGGTGCTCATATGGCGATGCATCAATCAAAATTTTCTAATTTTTTTCTCCCAATTCCCCGAAATTTTCATTTGGTAAATTACGGTTATTTAAAAAGCTATCGACAAGATAATTAACGATAAAAAAGATAAATTACGTTAATCTCTTTATTATCTGTGAGCTCGCCAAATAGGTTTGTGGCGATAACAGTACAGTTTCACCAGCTGCGACTTCATTAGAAATGTTTCACTAGTTACATCTCCAATGTACATACATCTTCACTAGTTACGGCTTCACTAGTTGCAATTTCATTAGTTACCGCGTCACTAGTTACCGCTACACTAGTTACCGCTACACTAGTTACCGCTTCACTAGTATAGATCTAGTCTGTAAGTGGTCAGGGGCTGCGGGTCTCAATCTCTTAGCGCGGCTTCCAGGCGGCGACTTGGGAACGTCGGTGGATTGCTAAGAGCATTGCTGGCCGCGCCACGCGTCCCAGCCAAATCCAGCCAAGCCCTAGCAAAGCTACACACAAGCCACAGCCAAGCCACAGCAATGCCACTGCCAAGGCCTAGCCAAGCTACACACAAGCCACAGCCAAGCCCCAGCAATGCCCCAGCCAAGCCCCAGTCAAGCCACAGCCTAGCTACATACATGCCACTGCCAAGCCACAGCTAAGCCGCAGCCAAGCCACAGCCAAGCTACAGCAATGCCACTACCAAGCCACAGACATGCCCTAGCAAGGAACTGCCCAGCGCCTGCGTTGTTTAGGTTCCGCTGATTGCACAATACGCTTCGGCGGTTCTGCTTAGGCTCTACTTAGGAGACGTTACTTAAGAGACTCTAATTAGGAGGCATCTACTTAGAAGACGTCTACTTAGGAGGCCTATGCTTAGGAGAACTGTATTCAGGAGGTCCCAGTGAGGACATCTGATAGACATGACCAGACCACTTGTCAAGAGGTCTTCAATTTCGCGGTCGCAAAATCTCTCCCCACGTTCGTTATCTCTGCCACTAGGTCCCCTACTTAGGAAGCTTGCAGTCGGAAGATCTCTGTTTAAAAGATCTCTGATTAAGAAACTTCTGCTTAAGAGACTTCTACTTCAAGACCACAAGGCTTGCGGGCATGAGATCCCTACTTAAAAGACCTCTGCTTAAGAGATCTCAGCTTGAGAGACCTCTACTTAAGAGATCTCGGTTTAAGAAACCTCTACTAAGGAAGCCTCTACTTAGGAGGCCTGTGCTTAGGAGATAGCCTCGCTCAGGCTGATAGGTCCCCTCAATCCCCCTGGGGAGGCGGCGAGCGATACAAGAAATTCATTCCCTAAGAGGATGGCCAGAGCTGGACGTCCCCATGGGGAATGAAGTTAAGGCGGCCAAACCACCACTGCAAAATACTGCACAGTTGCCCGCACTAACGAGCTTCTAAATATATTAATTTCTCTTTGTTTATTTAGCGTTATAATTGATTTTTTCAGCAGTGGAGATGATCGCAAACATTTGTAGATATTATATATTTAATGATGCGCACATCGTGTGAGCTAGAATGCTTTATTTTATATTGTTGTATCATCAATAATGTGCATGGCAGAGGCAGGCCAGTGAGGCAGGCCGGTGAGGCAGGCCAGTGAGGCAGGCCAGTGAGGCAGGCCAGTGAGGCAGGCCAGTGAGGCAGGCCAGTGAGGCAGGCCAACAAAGCAACACAAACAGCCATTAAGGCCGCGGCCTCCTAACGCCGCTACAGCAACAACGTCTAACAACCTAACGCTGCTGTACAAACACCCTGCCTCTTAGGGGTGGTGGACCAGCTGTAGCTGGGCGCCTGGACCACCTGTTACCAGCTGGACGGTGTACTGGCCACCACCGCAGCTGGGCGCCTGGACCACCTGTTACCAGCTGGACAGTGTAATGTTTACCACCTGCAGCTGGGCGCCTGGATCACCTGTTACCAGCTGGACAGTGTAATGTTTACCACCTGCAGCTGGGCGCCTGGACCACCTGTTACCAGCTGGACAGTGTACTGACCACCCCTGCAGCTGGGCGCCTGCACCACCTGTTACCAGCTGGACAGTGTACTGACCACCACCAGCAGCTGGGCACCTGGACCACCTGTTACCAACTGGACAGTGTACTGACCACCACCGCAGCTGGGCGCCTGGACCATCTGTTAACAGCTGGACAGTGTACTGACCACCACCTGCAGCTGGGCGTCTGGACCACCTGTTAACAGCTGGACAGTGTACTGACCACCACCAGCAGCTGGGCACCTGGACCACCTGTTACCAACTGGACAGTGTACTGACCACCACCTGCAGCTGGGCGCCTGGACCACCTGTTACCAGCTGGACAGTGTACTGACCACGTGTTACCAGCTGGACAGTGTACTGACCACCACCTGCAGCTGGGTGTCTGGACCACCATTTAAACATGCATCTATTAGACGAATTTATATGGTAGTTTCATACATGGTAACTCTGAGTTCGGTACCACACTAAGTAACCATCAGTCGTGACTATGACGTACTGTTGCAATTTTTTTTTTTTTTGGTAACATAAAATCCTCTTACATCGAGAAATCTGCTTTGCGCATGACCGGTGGAAGGGGAATGAGAGCGACGTGGTCGAGTATAGTAGAAACCCTGCAAACCTTGCAGACCCTGCAGACCCTGCAGACCTTGCAGACCCTGCAGACCCTGCTGACCCTGCAGACTCTGCTGACCCTGCAGACCTTGCAGACCCTGCTGACCCTGCAGACTCTGCTGACCCTGCAGACCTTGCAAACCCTGCAGACCCTGCTGACCCTGCAGACTCTGCTGACCCTGCAGACCTTGCAGACCCTGCAGACCCTGCAGACCTTGCAGACCCTGCAGACCCTGCTGACCCTGCAGACCTTGCAGACCCTGCAGACCTTGCAGACCCTGCAGATCATGTAGACCCTGCGATTCGGTTCTCTTCATTCAACTCTTTCAAGTCCCCACGCCGAACTCAAATTATGCGAAACGTTTCACTTTATTCTTGCGAACCTTTACTTCTCTGAACCACTTTTGTGAGTAGTTACCTTTCACTCATACAATCATTCAATCTCTGAACCGCTTCTGTGAATAACTGTTCTACTTTTACTCGTATAATCATTCGTTCTCTGAACCAGCTATATGGAACCTATGCATATNTTAGTTCGTTTAATATATTGTTTTCTGAGTGTGTGTATTGCTCAACTTTTACAAGACACTTGCATCTTTCCACAGACAAATGTCTGATAATCTTGCATGTGTTCATTATTTCAAGCTTTCCTTCCCTAACTCTTTCCTCGTCACTGTATGACAACACTTGCAGCTCCGAGATGACTTCACTGCTCTGGTGGACTAAAATTCTGCCTAAATTATAGTAATAATTCAATAAATTAATTTTAATTTATTTTGTTTAAAAATAAATATATAGATTTTTTGAATGATTAATAAATTACTTCTATTAGTAATTAGTCATCTACTTGTATTAGCGACGAAAATTAGGGATGGAATAAAGAGGTAATTCAACTGTTATAAAAGATAGAGATAGATTGTTAACAAATTCATGCAGAAACTAATACTATACATGACTGTAACATGATAATAAGATATCTATTATAATTATAAATTAGATGAATTACCTTTATTATTAGCCTATTGAATAATGAGTATGTGTAATGCTATGCAACAGTGACAGCATTGCCGC